ACAAATGTTGCAGTCATTTCGGTGTTTTGAAGCGTCTTGAATACTTCCTTTCCTTTCGAAGTACACGTGTCTGTTAAACAATATAAAAGTATTAACATACAAGGGTGCAACTTTTGGTAAGCTCTCTGTTTCCTTGAAATCTGACGGCTAATTTTTTACTGTTTATGATAGAGCTACAGGGCTGTGGTCCATACCCTGGGTCTAAAAACGTGAACGTTTTAAATCATTTGGAGAAGCTGACTGACATTGTAAAAAAATTCTGCGTTTTACAGTTTTAGTCCAGAACAGTTCATAGTCTAGTCAACGAACACCGGAATCCAACTAGATCGGTCCTCTTATAAGCAGTTTTCTGGAAATGGGTAAAGAATATTGCAAACTTTATTTTTCTAGTTCATCATTCTGAACACCAACCCGCAGTCTAATATGGAGCGACTTTTTTCGGAACTGAAAAAATGACTAAACCTTTCAACAGCGAGACGCCGAGCAAAGTAAAATGTTATTGAAATGATATTCAGAAGCAATTTGTTTATTTAAGCTTTGAGTTGACGACTGAGGTTTAATCTGTTCCTCGGAAGGCCATATGTACATAAATTTCAAATAATAGCAGTACGTGAAAAGCGTCTACTCCATAGTCCGTTCGTAAAAATAAATTCATAAGATTGTGCAATAAACAGAGTTGCTCTCTCAAAAGAAGCTTATGACTGTTTTCAGAATTTACACCTTGAGAAGCCATTTGTAAGTAGTAATGTTAAGAGAGCTGCTAGTTAAAAAAACTCAAAATTGGTCCAATGTACAACTTTTTAAAATCATTTTTCACAAATGAAACTGATTAAAAATTTTGCCTGATTTGAAACAAAAAGTTTTAGCTGATTCGCATCATCTATCTTAATTTTACGATTCTTCACAGAGTTATTTGATTAGTTATACGTGTACACAAATGTTGAGTGATAATAGTGCATAAAAAGTGTCTAGTTTAGCATCTGTTGAGGAATTTAAAAAATTAAGTTAGCAACTTAAAAAAAAGAAACCCGTATAACAAACTGAGATTTAGTCAGACAGGACTTTAAACAAATTACATTTTTCATGCATTCCTATCATTTAAAACCAATACGACACATGCAATTACCAAAAAATGTAGTGTTTCAACAGATAAAAACATAAGACGAACGATATGAAAAGACTGTTTTCTGGTACAAGCGTCAGTTGAAGCTTTTCGTACTGAAATTTGGAAGTTTTTTCAACCAGTTTTTTAGTCGTAGACCATGTTGGAACGATAGAATACAGAAGCACCAAGTGATTTTAATTTTTTAAGTAATAGTAGTAGGTAATAGTCACTGCATGACAGCATTCAAGCATCATTTTGTGCTGTACGTTCTGAGAATGTTTATGACCAATCAAAGTTTTATCAATGCTTATTCGTCCAGTAAATGGACATTATAGGCTTTTTTACAAAATAATGGTTCTGATATGAAGGTAAATGAAGAAAGTCAGCCAATCTTAATTCTTTGGTCAAGTGTAAAATTATAACACAGAAAACTACTGAATTTTTGACAAGGTTTTGCTTGACTAAGTAATTCTTAATACAATGTTTAATTTTTCCTCATCCTCAACAGGTGTCGGATTATATGGTTGCGTTGGTCTTAAAGCGATTATTTTCACAATGGGAACTTTAATTGTAGAGGAGGATACAGATTACTGTGGACACAGAACTACGGTCGTCTGGAATCAGATTTCTGTTCTATTATACGTGTCATTATGAAGCCACAGTTCCTTTTTTATATCACCGATGATGAAGAAGAAAAAAGGTGCTTGTCGGTGTATCGGGTCATAAATGTCATTCTCTATAAACGTGAAAGAGGAATTTATAATGAAGTTTAAAAAAAAATAAATAATAAATAAACTGTTGAAGAAAAAAAACTTTTATTACTATGAAACTTGTAACTGACCTTCAGTGGATGTACTTTGTGATGTTCATACTGTTATTCATCAACAACCTGTAAACCTGAAAATAACCTCCTCGTCACTGTTATCTTATTTTATTTAAAGGACATTATTAGTTCGGCAAATATAGCACTTTGATCATAAAACGGCAAAAGTGGAATAACTGACAACTCTTTTATCTCATAAACATTGACCGTTATCACTTGCCCAGTACGTTAGACCATACATCGGTTTAAGGACAGATTTTTCTGTGTTAACTCAATTTTTCTTTTGCTAGAAATCTTTTAACAGTCTGAGGGGAAACATCGGAAAAACGTGAAATGTTTAACAGTGTTTTCTTGCACTTACCCTGTTTACCACTGTGTTGGTCCATATCAGTGGACTACAGATTTTTTGAGAGGATGATAAACCTAACAAGGAAAAAAAAAGTTACAGCATAAAAATTAGAATTTTTTCGCGAAATGGCGGTTATATTATGCAGGTAACTGTAGAAAGTTGACCATTCTTTATTCTCTAATTGTTTATGCAGTTACCAAAAAAATGAACCGCCTCCAAGTTTTACCTCATAGAGGCTTTATTTGACTAAGTAATTTGTGGTGTAGGTAGTCTTCAAGTTTTTTTTTTTTGCTCTTATTTTTGGTAGACAACGAAATATACAGCTACTTTAAAAAATAATAAATATTATAAAAAATTATTGCGTATAATGGTTTTAACTAATTAAAATGCTGATTTTTTTTGATTATTTTACTGCAAAAAAACATTACTTTATTGTTAAGAAATTCAAGTAATATGCCAATGATTAAATTACTACAAAACTGGTTAATAGTTGAATATGCTGGTTGCAAAATATGTAAGTATTCATTTTTAAAGTCATCGGTTACCTAAGGTTTTTATTCTATGCGAAAATAGGTTTTACTTAAAGGTGACAGCAGTTTAGAGAGTACCGTCTAAACTTCCTGGCGGATTATGACATTTTTAGTTCATGCAGAATTTTACTGCAAGATTTGTGCATTAACCGTTGAGGAATCAGTTTGACCAAAATTTTCATAACCCCATATTTCTCTATTAATTTTATCCAAGTTTTATCTCCCAAAAAAGCATAACCTTTTAACCAACCATCACATTCACCTGTTGGCATTTCTTCTGTATTGTCGTTTAATTGACTTCTTATATAGTTGGCAAGTCCAGGTGAAGTGTAGTAGGTAAGTTTTCAAAAATTTCATAAATTTCTGGTTAGTATAAATTTTATATATTTAAGTTTGTTAAAAAATATTTCCTTCACGAATTACAATAAATTCTGTTTCCTTATGAAAACGTTGATTGATTCCAACTAAAGATGTTATTTTACGAGTAAATTTCTTCTGGCGATTTTTATTATAAAAATGATCTACGATTTTTGAATAAAAAAAACTTTTTTTTTGTATCAAATGTTAATTGTACAGTAAAAAAGAGAAAACACAAGAAAAGTACTATTGCGTAAGGTGATCATTGATTATCAGGAAAATTCAAGGACAACTTTATTAGGAGCTAATTTTTGGTGCTAACTTTTTGAAGTACGAAATGTACCGGTCATATAAGTAGCTGTTCTAAATAGCTGTTGGTTGATATTAAACATTTTAGGACCGAATAGACCAAGAATAGAGTGATCAAAAATTAGTCACTTAAACGGTGTTTTAAATTTGCTTGAATGATTATTCCTTTTCTTTTTTTTTATCATTTTTTGCTTGATTCTTTTTTTTTTTTTTTTT